CCTCGAACTCTCAGAGATCCACCTGCCTCTGCCTCCCGAGTGCTGGGATTAAAGGCGTGCGCCACCACCGCCCGGCTAAACTTTCTTAGGCACTTAAATTCTTGACTTGAATAAGTGTTTGTTTTAGGAGTCTAAAAATTAAATCAGTTGATAAAAATTAGGTATCTATAGCCGGGCAGTGGTGGCGCATGCCTTTAATCCCAGCACTCAGGAGGCAGAGCCAGGCGGGATCTCTGTGAGTTCAACACCAACGTGGTCTACAGAGCGAGATCTAGGACAGGCACCAAAACTACACGGAGAGACCCTGTCTTGGAAAAAAAAAATTAGGTATCTATAACATTTGATAGTTGCTGCCTAATTGCTCTTTAGAATGATTGAATTAATTTATGAAACTTATGTCTCAAGACTACATTTCCAAAGTACCTAATAAAGAAATGATGATCCTGACCATGAATAAATATTCAGAATTCTGAATACACTAAATTATATGTCTTTTTGCACTATTAGATTGTCATTTCCTTAGTGAAAGGGACCATGATTTTCTAAACATTGAGTACCCCATTGTATGTCTAGAGAGAATTTGGAGATTTAAAAAGGAAAAGATAACTGTCTCTATGCAAAAATTGCTCACCTTCTTCTCTGAGTATTTGTCTTTTACTGCAGTGCCTAGAATTACTATATAACTAAAAGTGTTTCTCTTTGTCTGAGGACTAATATTTGGTGAACTTTTCGGTTTCACCAGATGAATTGATGGGGTAGTTTTGGATACGGACCCCCTTTCTGTTTCAGCCATTGCTTGTTGAAGAAGGAAGTAGTTGTCCTAAGTCTGCACACCCTGTGACTGTCATTTGATTGCTGCTGATAATAAACTGACCATCTTTTCTTTTGTTCTCTGAATGTACAATATACAGAAGTGGAAAGAGGGTGAGCCACTGAGTGCTTGACTCTACCACTAGCTTCCTCTAAAGGCTACCTCACATTCGCACTTAGGACACAGAGCTTCTGTAACTCTAGGATAAAGCAGCCTTTTGAGAAGGTGCAGCCGGGAACATGGGACATGAGGGCAGAATCTTGGTCCCCAGCATGCTCTGTTTAGGACATTCAGCCTTCTCTAGCTAATCCCACTTGGCTCTGATCTTCTGTTTTTGTCCGTCTCTTCAGCACTTATGTGTTCAGTTTGCACCATATTAATCTGCACTTGTTTGCATGTTGCTTTGTGTTTTCTTCTCACGTATGTATTGTTTTGTGTCCCCAACTAAAATACGAGCTTTTTGAAGGCAGAAACCATGCCTTTGGTTTCTTTTGTATTTCCCATAGCACCTTTTACTGTGCTCAGCAGAGAGTGGGCGTACAGTATATGTTGTGGAATGACATCCTGAGTGATCCCTCCCTGGCTGGGCCTAAGATTAAATTCCCTGAAATGGAACAGTCCTAACCAACCCAGGACAGGTATTCTCCATCTGGCATGTTGGTTGCTTCTTTCGACTTGCTATTTGAAATGGCTCCCTTCAGCATCTTTCTGTCTCCGGTGTCAGGGACTCGGCGTAGCTAATGATGTTCTCTTACTGTATGTGTTCCAGGCCAGCCTGCGGACACCAGAACTGACCTGGGAGAGAGTAAGATCCCAAGTTGACCACGTGATATGGCCTGATGGCAAGAGGATAGTGCTGCTGGCAGAGGTGAGACTGAGGCTGACAGGGAGCCACTCCCCTGACAGGAGTCTGAGACTGCGGCTCCTGCTCCCCTCCCTCCGTCTTCCCTGATCCTTTCAACTCTGCCTCCGAAGCACAAGTTTAACTACTTTACCAGTGGATTTTACTTCTGATTGTGAAAGGTCTTTTCATTCAGCAATTAAGAAACTATTTTGGTTCCTTACTTTTCACCAATTATCCTGTCTCTCCATGTCACTCTCCAGGTTGAGTCAGATAATGACTATTACTGTGGAAGGAATTAGCAGATAGAATCAGTGCCGCTTTGAGTGATGCCCACAGAGAGATAATGTCATTTGTGGGGTGGTTTAATCAGTAAGCAAAGTAGGCTGTAACTCAGACTGTCTTTGGTAAGCTTTGGGAAAGTCATGTCTTTGCTGATAGTGTCTCTATTTTAGTGTCTTCTGAACTGATGAACGGAGCCAGAGGTGTAGTAGGTACCCAGCTTATTCTGTTAATTGGCTGCTGGATGGACAGTTCCACATCCTGCTTCATCTAGCTCACACATATTCCTTCTTTTTCCCCTGTGCTAGGAATTGTACTTAAGCCTTCACACATGCACACATGCTAACCAAGAGCTCCATCACTGAGCGATATTCCCAGTCCTTGTGTGTGTGACGGGGTGGGGTGGGGTGTCATTTTCTGACTGATTTTCCTATAGTAATGGCTCTGCTTTCATAGCCAGTGTTCTTGGGTGCTGGGAGTGCTTCTTGTCCTTCCAGGAAGCTTTCTCTTTTTCTTAAAGAAACTGAGTATGAAAAGGTAAACAATTTCATCTCCTTCTGTGGGGGCACATAGGCCAACTTTGTATGTCCTTAGTCTTTTGACCTTTTGCCCTCCCTTAGTTAACATCTTTTAGATGCTTTAGGGCGTGTCTGGGAAGGTGTGAGTATGGCTAGGAAAGAGCAGGTTGTTTAGTGTTTATTAATAGCCTTGACGTCAGCCCCCTGTCTGGCAGCATTTCTAAACTGTCCTGGGAGGTCCCTCTTAGCAATTTTCATGATACAAACTGGCACTAAAGGTGTTTTGGGCTATATAGCTGAGCAAAAACAGTAGTCAGGCTTCCTAGGAAACAAAGCAAGAAAGGACAGCATGGGGCAGGTGTTAGCTCTTTTTCTGTCATTATTGTCCACTCAGAATTCAAGGCTACCTGCCTGTGGGTCAGAGAATCACACTGAGAAGCACAAGAACCATCACAGCTTCCTAAATCTCTAGTTGTCTCCTACTCAGCCTGGAGATTGCTGCTGGCCTTGACTTTCCTTTCCTAAGACAGTCTAAGGAATGCCAACCCTCAGAAGAAGGATAGTTTGCTATAGAGAGTGTCATATGGCTGCCTTTATTCCTTTTTACATACTTCCAGAAATAGTTTGGGATAAACATGTATCAAATTTTTAGTGCTTTTATTTGGATATCAATTAATTCTAAAGAAGACATACAAATGGCCAACAAACAAAGGGGGATATGTTCAGCATCATTAATCATCAGGAAAATAAAAAGTAAAGTCACAATGAAGTATTACCTCATTCCAGTAAGAATTACAAAGAGATAAAACATAACAAATTATGAAAAACAGTATGAGTGTCTCAAAAACTGAACAACAGAACTACTGTGTGTTCCAGTAATCCCATTGTTACGTATCTAAAGAAAACAGAGTCTGAGGTATGTCAGATACATACATTCCTTTCTTCATTGCAGGCTGTTACATCAGCCAGGAAGTGGGACTGGCTGAAGGAAATATGGTGCATACACACAATGTATTCTGTTCTACCATAAAAATAAACTCCTGTCATCTGGTAATGTGAAGTAATGTTAAGTGAAATCAGCCAGACACAGGAAGACAAGTAATGCATAATCTCAATCATGCAGAATCTGAAAACATTGGATATGGGGCCAGAAGTGTTGGTCCATGCCTGTAAACTTAGAATTTAAGAGATGGAGGCCATGGGTAGAGGGAACAGGAAGAGAGGAGGGAGGGGAAACTGTGGTTGGTGTGTAAAAATTTAATAAATGAAATTAATAAAAATGAAAAAAATTAATTAAAAAAAGAGATGGAGGCACAAGAATTAGGAGTTCAAGATCAGCTTTGGATACCTAGTAACTTTTAGGTCAGCTTAGGCTTCATAGTAAAACTGTCCCCAAAAGAAAAGAAAAGGTTAAATCTAGCATTATTTCTAATAGCAAATAAATATAAATCAACAAGAGAATTCCTAAGTAAATCAGAATAGCTCTATTCAGTGGATTTATGAGCCTTGTGTCCAACTTGTTCTCATTAGCCTTGTGTTCTATTCTAATAGAAGTTGTGAGAAGAATAAATGTTGGTAAGCCAGGCATAGTAGCACACTTCTGTTATCCCAACATTCAGGAGGCTGAGGCAGGAGAATTGAGAGTTACCGGCCAGCCTGTGATTACGTAGTGAGTCCCTATCTCAGAAAACAAAAACAATGGTTACCAGAGACTTGGAACTATGCAGTGGTGGGGTTGAGGAGAGGTTGATCAGTGGATATTGAGTTTCAGGTAGCTAGAAGTATAAATAATTTTGGCATACTATTACCATACTGTAACTATAGGTAACAATTATGTATTGGACATTTAAAAACACTGTAAGAGAGGATTTAAAGAAATAATGAATATTTGAGGATATAGATATGTGTACTCTTGTTTTGAAACATTACATAGTGCCCTATAAGTATGTATAATTTTTGCTTTGATATATCAGCTAAAAAATAAACTTTAGGGGGTTGGGGATTTAGCTCAGTGGTAGAGCACTTGCCTAGCAAGCACAAGGCCCTGGGTTCAGTCCTCAGCTCCAGAATGAATGAATGAATGAATGAATGAATGAATGAATGAATGAATGAATAAATAAATAAATAAATAAATTTTAGATAAAAATTTTAAGACATTTAAAATATGGTGGCTCGTGCCTTTAATCTCAGCAGTTGGGAGGCAGAGGCAGGCAGATCTCTGAGTTTGAGGCCAGCCTGGTCAACATAACAAGTTCTAGGACAAGCCAAAGCTATGCAGAAAGACTCTGTCTCAGAGAGAGAGAGAGAGAGAGAGAGAGAGAGAGAGAGAGAGAGAGAGGAGGAAAGAAGGAAAGAATGAATTTAGAGGATATCAGTGGATCCCTTTTTGTTAAATGCCTACTGTGTCTGACAATCTCAGGAAAGACTGGACCGTGGCAGTCACTCTTCCTCCACCCTTGCAAGGCCAGCAGCTGTCCTAATGCCCCTCTGCCCTCACTTTTGATCACTAGGGCCGGCTGCTGAACCTGAGCTGCTCCACAGTGCCTACATTTGTGCTCTCCATCACTGCGACCACTCAGGTAAGCTCTGCAGTGGCACAGTCATGGGCTGGAGAGAGTTCTTAGACAAGCCAGCTTGCATAGCTTTGAAAGGTGTGTCAGCATGCACGTCTCTGCTTTTCTAGGCTCTCGCCTTGATAGAACTTTACAATGCTCCTGAGGGTCGCTATAAGCAAGATGTGTACCTGTTGCCCAAGAAAATGGGTAAGCTGCTCTTCCTTCTCCATTCTCACCAGAGTAGTTCACTGTCAGGAGCTAAAGGAAACTTGGAGGCATTAACTTCCTGGGGAGGTGGGGGTGGGAAGAAAACCTATCTTTATCTTATAAAATAGGAACTAGGATTCCAGACTCTATTTCAAGATGATTTGTGTAATTTTCCACATAGGTTTTTCTAGAGAGGTTCTTTTTATTTTTTATACATATAATTCTTTTCTTTTTAAGGATTTGTTTATTACGTGTACAGTGTTCTGCCTGCATGTATGCCTGCACGCCAGAAGAGGGCACCAGAACTCATTATAGATGGTTGTGAGCCACCATGTGGTTGCTGGGAATTGAACTCAGGATCTCTGGAAGAGCAGCCAGTTCTCTTAACCACTAAGCCATCTCTCCAGCCCTCTAGAGAGGTTCTTGCATTTTGCTGTGATTTAGAATATCTGCCTGAGAATTATTTTATTATGCCTTATTGTATTACATCACACTGTATGTTTTGAGTCAGAGTCTCAATGTAGTCAAGGCTGGCACTGAACTCACACTTGTTTCCTGCCTGGGATTATAGCATGTGCCACCAGGCCTGGCCTACCAATTGAGTTTTAAAGATTTTCTCTTTTATAGTATCATGTATACAAAAATCTCAAAGGAGGAGGAAGATATTCCCCCCCAAAAGAGAATGTCTCTGGCCTTGTAGTATCTGGCTTATTCCACTTCTAAGATGCCCCTTCTTTTCAGGGATACAGGTTTCTGTTAAGAGTTAATTATGGCTGGATGGTGGTGGCACATGCCTTTAATCCCAGCACTCAGGAGGCAGGGGCAGGTGGATCTCTGTCTACAATGGGCAGTCCAGGATAGCCAGAACTGTTACACAGAGAAACCCTGTCTCAAGAAAATAAAAAAAGAGAGAGAGAGAGTTAATTATGTGGGTGATTGGTATAAGAGAAACATTAAACTGTCTTAAATTTTTAAAAAGCCTGTCCTAAGCACCTAGGATAATAGAAACTCATGGAATAAGTCACCTTCTGGCTTTGCTCCAACAACTGTTACAAGTGTCTGCATTTCCCTTTAATGCAGCTTGGATGAGTCTGATGTGGTGGGTTAATCCCAGCACTTGGGAGACAGAGGCAGGAGGATCTCTGAGTTTGAGACCAGGCTGGCCTACAGAGTGAGTTTCAGGACAGCTAGAGCTATACAGAGAAACCCTGTCTCAAAAAGCAAAACAAAACTACCACAGTTTGGAAGGGTATGGAATGAAGAGAGCAGTTTATATTCCCTTTGGCTACATAATGAAGTACAGTGATTCAAAAGATGTAAAATTACTAAAGCAAAGCACACAGTTCTAGGTTGGTTTTTTTTTTTTAAGTTATTTTCCCATGGTTGTTAATTTTTCTAGAATGTATAGTATAGTATTTCTAGTATTTCCTTTTTTTTTTTTTTTTTTTTTTTTGAGACAGGGTTTCTTTGTGTAATATCACGCCTTTCCTGGAACTCACTTGGTAGCTCAGGCTGGCCTCGAACTCGCAGAGATCCGCCTGGCTCTGCCTCCCGAGTGCTGGGATTAAAAGCGTGCGCCGCCACCACCACGCAGCCATTTCTAGTATTTCATAGTATAGTATAGACATTAAGGTAAAACTAAAAGTGAAGCTTCTCATTTTTAAGACCTATGCTGTCCCATTATTTCTCTCTTTTCTGAGGAAAAAGTTTCAGGGTAGAAAGAGTTACTGGAAGAAATATTTGGCTTTTAAAATCACTGGACTTGAAGCTGAAGATAGTCACTCCTTAGATTTGAGGACCTATGAGCAAAAGTCAAGTATTTGTCATTCATCTCCAGGAACTAGAACTTGTCTTCCAACTTTTTAAGGCCTCACTTGAGGAGCACAGCAGACAGGAGACATGAATGCTTATCCCATGACTTCTATGGTCTTTCCAGATGAGTACGTGGCAAGCCTCCACCTGCCCACCTTTGATGCCCACCTGACAGAGCTGACAGATGAGCAGGCCAAGTATCTGGGACTCAACAAGAATGGGCCCTTCAAACCTAATTACTACAGGTGCCTTGGGCTCCCCAGAAATCAGAAGGCTGGGTAGTGAAGAGCTTCCTGCAGTGCAGCTGGTCCTTGCCTCTTTACCACATACCTTTGTATGAACTCAGAGAAATAACACATTTCCTCCAGGTCTCCTACCTCTAAATACTCGGAGATCTTCTGTAAATATTGCCATTGTCCTTGCCCCACATACACACCAGCCTTTTAGAATCACATTTTTGTTCATGTGTTTTGTGGGTGCATGTGCACGTGTATGTGGAGATGGGTGCATGTGCACGTGTTGTACACGTGGAGGTCAGAGGATAGCCCATGGGAGTGAGTTCTCCTTCTCCCATGTGGGTCCTGGGGAGATCGTGAGGCTCGGTAGGTAGCAGGTGCTTCTATCCACTGAGCCTTTTTCCCTGATAGGGAGAGAGTACAGATATCTATCCTCACCATATACACTAGAAAAGCCCTTGTCTCCTCTTACACAGGCGCCTCATGTTCCAGCCCCAGCAGCAGATAGCATCAGTTTCAACTTTCTTTTTCCCTCCAGGTATTAAGCTCCTGTAATGCAAGCCGGAAGACATTTAAGGAATAGAACCAAGCCTTTATCCAGGAAGAACCCAGCAAGCCGCTTCTCCAGTCAGAGCTGCCCGCCGTGCTCATCCTATGTGTTAGGTTATTTATTTATTAAAATCTAGAAGCCTGTGCCTGTAGCCTTGGCCCAGAGTGTGGTTACTACTCCTGGGGCCTGAGAGCCGCAGAGAACAGGCTGAGGAAGGAAAGAAATGGGCGACCATTCCTAGTGATCATTTGCATCATTGCCCATTGATGGACTCCTCAGTTTTTCTTCCCAGGCTCAGGAGTTAGTTCAGGGATGCCAGACTCCTTGTTACTTAGGGTTTTCTGGAATAAATTTTCAGCAGCTGCCTTTCTCCAAGCTTTGGTCCTTTCCCAGACGAGGCCTTTTGGAAGCCACTGCATTAAGAGGGCCTGAATTCTCAGTCTTGATAGTTGCTATCACTGCCTTCTTTATAAAAAGGCTAGTGAAGTAGGAGTGGTAAGGTCTTGTAAGCTACACCAAGAACTCAGCTGTGCCTGTGCCTGTGCCTACTGGGATCTCTTTTCTTACCCAGAACTCCTTTCTGTTCCTTGAATATTATATCCATTTTAATGCTTCCTGGTTCTAAAAGGGTGTGCCTCCATGATCTTAATACCTCTGCTGCTGGCCAGGCATTTGTTTTGCTTTCTAACCCCACCAGACCCTGCTCAGGAAGTAGGGGACCAGCTCCACTGGGACCCATAGTTTTACTTCCTTGTCACTTAACTGGACCGTTTCCCGGGAAGCCCCCTCTCCACTGGCACTGTCTCAGAAAAGGAGGGCGTCATGTGGAGAGTGCTTCCTGAAACTTCTGTTACTGCCTGAAACGACTTCTGGAACTGAGTTGGCAAAGATGTTTGCTAGAGATTTGGAAGCTTGAGCCTTTGGAATGGGATCCAGCTTGACGTCCTAAAGAAGCCAGTCTGTTTGTTTTCCAGGAAAGACTTTAGAGCCTGGCTGCAGAAGACGGGTGACTGTCATCTGTATCCAGAGGATGAAAACCAGTTTGAGGGCTGGGGAATAGCTCAGTGGTAAAGCACATGGCTGGTGTGTACAGGCCCTAGGCTCAGTCACTGGGCTCTAGGGAAGGGGTGGGGAACTGGTTTGAACCTCATCAGACAGTCATCCCTTTGGCTGTTGCCATTGGTGAAAGTGAGGTCTGTAATTTGATATCTCATCTTTCTTTGCTGCTGCTGTATCTTTAAATCTGGCCCCTTCTGTTTAAGGATTCTGTTGCAGAGAGTTTCTTAAGTAACTCCAGCATTAGCATAGCTGGTAAATGGTGTGAAATTTCTCAGTCCACTCAAGCTTTAGATTTCCTTTGGAGACGGACTGACTGATTTCAGGGTTTCCATTGGGATCAGTTGGTTTCAAAAATTAAAACCTGGAGTGACCCTAGGAATCTTGAGTTAAATGAGTTCCTCTCCTGGCCCATCCTATTTAAAAGTCTCGTGTTTGTTTCCCATGTATTTCTTATATTGTTCTGCTTCAGAGTTTCAAGACCAAGGTCATTCAGACAGAAGACACACAGAATCACTAAAACCTTTATCTAGATCTTCTCCCCTGCTTCTACCATCTCCATCATCCCTTGGTCTTTGTGTGTGCCCTGGAAGCTAGTCTGGAAGTGTCCTTATTTTTGAAGATAGGGAAACAGAACTGGTGTAGGTGGCTGTTGGCCTTTTTAGATGGTATACAGGCTCAGCCCAGAAGATGGATTCTTCACAGGGTATCATCTGTCTCTACTCTTTTATAAGGAAGACCGTAGAGACTGAAGATTCCACGAAAATACTCAATTCTGTTTGCCTCATTCTGATTTTTGTATTAATAGCTACTCTTCCACCTTTATTTTGTTTTTGTTGTTGGGTTTTGTTGTTGTTCTGAAATAGTCTCACTCTATAACCTTGACTGGTCTCAAACTCATGGCACTCCTCCTGCCTCCGCCTCTTGAGGCATGTGCTACCATGCCTGGCTGGCTCTTCATTGGCTCTCTTCAGCAAAACATTCAGCTATCTGCCTCATCTTATGTCCCGGGCAGATTCTGTTAGGCAGGTATCTGGGCCCCAAATCATAACCTGCTGATTCCCAGCAAAGCCTTGCTCTACAGAGCTTCCTATAGCTGGTACTTAAAGAGTACACGATGTCAAAACCAGTGAAGGGATCCATTGGAAATAGAAAGGGAGCCACATGGGTTTCTAAGTTAGGTTGCACTGTGTCTGCCCATGGTCAGGTATTTGACTACAAGTTGTAGATGGCATCTGTTCTCTTCTCTTCGGAGATTGCTGCGTGTGTCATCAGTCATTAGAAAGCAACCGGAAGTAGGGATGTAAGTCAGTGATAGGACACTTGATTAGCATGTGCCCGGCCCTGGGTTGAGTCCCCAGTTCAGGGGGCTTATGGGGAATGTGGAAGGAAGAGAGAAGGTAGTTCAGGACTCCTGTCTAGGTTCTGTCCTGTTAGAGGCAAATCTCTTCTTACTCCATCTCCTCCTCTTAGATGCATCCTAGCTACTAGGAGGCAAGGAAAAGAACACTGACTGTCCCTAGGTATGTGGCCTGGCGGTGGGGATACATACCATTTATCTACAATGAAATGTGTGCTACTTCATGGTCTTCTTGCTTTCTCGGTGGAAATATTTTTTCCCTTTTTCTTGTTAAACAAAATGCCTCCAGTTGGCCTCCAGTTGGCCTCCCCTCTGCCCCCTCCCTTCTCACACTCCCCTCCCATGAGAGCACGGCTCCCCGTGGCCACACACTCCTGCAAAGCTTTTCTGCTGCTTGGCTTTTCTCTGAACAGATCTGAAATTGCTGCTCCTGTGGTTTCCTCAGAATTCACTGTCACGGTTTAAAAAATCAGAATGCACTGTTGCATTAAGCTTTTTTAATAAGAGAAAATTATGGAAAGAAAATAGGTAACACCAGCAAATTATATATTGACAAGTCTAAACTATATATATATATATATATACATATCTATATAAATAATCATCTAGTTCTTGCTGTCATCTTACTGAAAGGAACGAGACCTCTAAGGATCACTAGTTCTGAGAAGCTCTTGGAAATCTTTATGTCTAAGTGATTGTATTAGATCAGCAATAATGACTATGTAATCTCAAAAAATAAATAAAATATTCTTAAAACTGGTCTGTGTCTTGAGAATACCACTTGCTTCTGTGAACTAGGAATTCAGAGATGAGAGGTGTCTGGGCAACAGACGAACAAGATTACCTGCCGCCATAGGACGAAGATGGGAAACGCTGCTGCTAGCACCACCGGGCATGTTTGAATGACCATTGCCCTGAGAGTCTTGTTTTACACTGAGACCCTGATAACAAGTGCCTTGTCCCTCCCCCACCACCCCACCTTGACACACACCTGCCTGTGTGTGAGAAGCACATCTTTTCAGAACCACTGCCTTGAGATGAGGACTGTGGGGTTAATTAAGATTCAAACAAACAAACAAAAAATAAATAAATAACCACATTAAACCAAAGCATGGATCTAGGTCACCAATACCACTGTGCTGCCCTTCTGTTGGGACCAAAAGATCTAAACACCTAGAATCTGAATGAATCCAGCCAAAGGGGGGTGGGAGATTCAGGGGTTCAATACCCAGCACCCATATGTTGGCTCACAAGAATCTGTAACTCCAGTTCCCTCTGCTGGCACTGTATGCACATGGTGCACAGACATTTGCAGGTGATACACTCATAGGCATAAAGAAAAACAATACTGGTTACTTCATAACCTCCAGTTCTGGGTCCCAGACCAGGTCCCTAGAGCCTCTTGTGTTACGTGCCACGTTATCCTGTCTACCAGGTAGCCCCCAGAAATGAGGGAATTGAAGACTTCCTGCATTTTACTTTTAAGCTATCTTAGTGTCAGGTACTATCTATTTAATGAAGTATTTTACTTTTGTGAATTAGAGGACTTAAATGGAGAAAGGAGTTTGTTTTATGTCTATTCCTGTTTGTATCATCAACCCTCTGTCAGAGGCCTGAGTTTGGAAATAAAGCTTTGGGACAAGGGAACTTGGTAGTATAGTATGGGGGAGGGGTGTTGTATCTGTGTGTGGGTATGTGAATGTGAGTGCTAGTGCCCATGAAAGCCAGTTACATACAGGTGGTCGTGAGCCACCTGGTGTGGGTGCTGGAAACTGAATTCAGGTTCTCTGGAAGAGCAGTGAGTCATCGCTAGCCGCAGAATTATAGATTTTAAAATGCTGGCAACATCTCAGCAAATGGAAAGACACGTAGACCAGTCTGACAAATTGTCTCGCAGGTACATTTCTGGGTGCTTCTGTGGCCATTGGTATTCCTGACTGTCACTCATTTGTGAATAAGCTGCGTGGCCCACAGTTTCAAAGTTTTCAGTGGATTGAAGTTTCTTGTGGCTTCATCTAGTTTTTCCCAGACACTTCATGACAAGGATAGATGTGATCTTTGCTGTTTTCCAGTCCACTAGGAGATCACCTTCTGATTCTTTGCAGTCTTCAAATTTTCGAGTCCCATCTCTGAGAGCCAAGTCAGGTGCTCAGCAGTTGCCTTTAGATGGAAGCCAGAGGACACCTCCCTCCTCAATCTCACTCCCAATGGCTCAGTCTTTGCCCTTTGCCTTGGGGATAAACAGAAAAAGGAAGAAAGCCTCAAAACTAGTGTCTGTGAGGATTTTACAGACTGGGCTCCCTGGAGAGTCATTCCTGGGATTGTCAATCCTAGAGCTCTGGCTGCTCAGGAGGAGAGGGACAGGAGAAGTAGACAATGGACTCTTTAGTAAGAAACCCAGTGGGCTGTGCTGTGGCAAATGTGTCACCCTAAAGCAGGGAAAAGCTAGGTGTGGGTTGGAATCTTAATGGAGATTGTACATTTCCAAGAGTTTAACAAATTAGGCCCTAAAAAAAAGTCTAAAGTCAAATAGTTTGTGCCTTGAGCCAAAGACTTTCTTGGAAATTCTCATGAGTTTATTTTGCAAAGGTATTGCAAAAAAGGAGATTTTGCTCCCCAGGGGACATATTGCAATGCTTAAAAACATTTTTGGTTGTCTTAACTAAGGGAAAAGTGCTACTGGCATATCTCAGGGACAGCCAAAAGTTCTGCTAAACAGCTTAAAATGTGTGGGACACTCCCCCATAATAAATAATTTTTTTTTTTTACAAAATGTCAATGGCACCGGGCAGTGGTGGCACATGCCTTTAATCCCAGCACTTGGGAGGCAGAGCCAGGCAGATCTCTGTGAGTTCGAGGCCAGCCTGGTCTACAGAGTGAGATCCAAGACAGACACCAAAACAACACAGAGAAACCCTGTCTCGAAAAACAAAAAAAAAAAAAAAAAAAAAAAAGTCAATGGCACATAGATTGTGAGGCCCTGTGTTAAACCTACAGAAAAGTGTTATGCAAAAGCCAATGAAGAGCCAGGTGTGGTGCACATCTGTAATCCCAGCACTTTGAGGACAGGAAGATCAGGAGTTCAAGGTCATCCTCATTTAAACCATGTTTGAAACCAGCCTGAGCTACATGAGACCTTGACTCAAAAAAAAAAAAAAAAACAAAACACAATGAAGGTTGGCCCTCCAAAGGAGCTACATCCACAGTGGAGATGGGGTGGGAATAGAATACTGTTGGTGCTTGTGAGATGTTGGGGACCAGGAAAGTATCCAGAAGTTTCCAAGGAATGAAGCCTCTGTCATTCCCCCTCCACCCCGCCACCTTACCAACTAACGGAAAGGTGAGGTATAAAGAGTTCAGGGTCTGGAGAGAAGCTCACTGGTTAAGAGCACAGGCTGCTCTTGCAGAGGACCTGAGTTCAGTTCCTGGGGTCAAGATGGCAGCTCCCAACTATCTGCAACTCCAGTCCCAGAAAGTCGAACTCCCTCCTCTGGCCTCCATGGGCATCGGGAAGGCATGTGGTGCACAGCCACAGAACAGGCAAAACACTCATACACATAAATAAGCAATATATTTTAAAAAGAAATGAGGTTAAGATGTGTGCAATGTCTCATGTCTGTAACCTCAGTACTCAAGAGGATGAAGCAGGATGACCATGAGTTAAAGGCCAGGTTAGACTACATAGTTCCAGGCTGTCCTGGGGTACAATATGAGACCATGTCTACAAAGAACATAATTGTCCTTAAGATATAGGAAAGGAGGGATCATTGCATTGTTTCAGGAGAATAAAAATACCACAGTTTGGGATCCCAGCAAAGTTGGTTTGACAGTAACACACCTGAATGAAGTAAGGGGAGTTCAAAATGAATGAATGAATGAATGAATGAATGAATGAATGAATGAATAAAGCCTTTCTAGAGGAGAAAGGGTCATAAGTAGGATCTTAAAGAGCAGTAGCTGTTCTGCCTAATTTTATGCGAGCTTGACACAAACTAGTCATTTTTGGAAGATAGAACATCAGTTGAGAAAAAGCCCCACCCCCTCCCCACCCCCCGGGCAGCCTGAGCTGTGGGCAAGCTGATGGGGCATTTTCTTGATTGATGGTTGCTGTGGAAGGGGCTGGCTCACTGTGGGCATTGACACCACTGGGCAAGCAAGTAGTCCCGAGTTGTACAAAAGAGCAGGCTGAGCAAGCTGTGAGCAACAAGCCAGTAAGCAGCATTCCTCCATGGCTTCTCCTTCAGCTTCTGCCCTGGCTTCCCCCTGTAAGCTGTCAGTTGAAATAAATCATCTCCACCCAAGTTGCTTTTGGTCATGGTGTTTTATCGCAGCAACTGAAACACCAAAACTGAAGCAACCCGCGAGAATGGGTTTCTTCCACAGAGCCGCATACTTAGTACATTGAGACACGACGCAATATAATACTTTGGGAACCCCATGGAGTTCTCTGCGCTTATGAGTTTCCTAATTAGTACAAAACTGATTCGTGAAAGATTGGCCATGGTGTTTTATCGTGCCAGAAAGGTGTGGTACTTGGGAAACACCTAGTGCAGTGTTTGGCACAGGCCCCAACTCAATGATGCCTTCACCAACCACCGTCTTCTTAAAGCAATAGTTTAGGATAGCGATTTGGTCCCTCCCATTCCCTTCAGATCTGCCAGTCTAATTCAGGACAGGTCAGAACCCACGGCCTTCAACTGTCCGATTATCTGGAGCTCCTAGGGTGCAGTGCTTTGTTGTTGCTGCTGTTTTCTTTCTTAATTTAAATATTTATTGTTTGTATATGTGGGAATGGGGGAAGACACCGCGGAGTACTTATGGAGGTCAGAGGTTAGAGGACAATTTCCAGCAGTCCGTTTTCTCCTTCCACCATGTGGGGGACCCGGGATCGAACTCAAGACTTTAGGCTTAGATTAGAAGCAAGTGCCTTTCCCCACAGAGCCTTCTCGCCCGCCCAGGGATGCTTTAGAGAAGGGAAGGAAAGAGCAGCGGGTGAGGGTGGGGCTTGCTATCTATTGCACCACGAGAAAGGTGCCCACATAGCTCGGGACCGATAACGAGGAGCAGCCCCTCGAGGGCGTCGGGGATTTCAGGGACGTCCCTCCCCGCAACTCCCAGTCTCCCTGCCAAGAGTTCTCTTCAGACAGCTTCCAGAGAGGGTAGGTTTGTGGTGTGGTGGCTCAGGCTATCCCAAAGGGCCAAGCCCCTTCTCTGCGGCAAAGCGGGGTATGAGAGGCTTGCAGCAGCGAGGATTGGGGGTCCTGGTCCGCGGTCACGCAGAAACCTAGACTGCAGTGGAACAGGGGCGGAGACCAGGGCTCGCAGGGAAAGGCCGCTACGTGGGACAGGACAGCGTTGAAAGGAGCAGGCAGCGCGGAGCTAAGCCGCCTGAGCTCAGGGTCCAGAGAGGAGGAGCGGGGAGCCAAACTAGTCCCCAGCTGCCAGCCGCGGTGCAGCGCAAAAGCTGGGGGTGTGAGGGGGAACGATTCCTTGAAAGAGCCCCCACCTCTGGCCGGCTGCTCAGCCAATCGCAGCACGGGGCGGGGACTCAGAGAGTAGTCACAGCCAATAGGAGCGGAGGGGGCGGAGCCTGGCTCCGGGCGCGCGCTGTGGCTGGGTCGCCCCGGGCAGATCGCGGAGCTGCCGTAGGGAACCGCTGAGGCAAGCTGCTGAAGGGAGCCGGCCCAGCATGGACGACCCCGCGGCGCCCGGGCCCGTCGGCTCGCCCGCTAATGACAACGGCAACGGCAACGGCAACGG